GTGTGTGTGTGTGTGTGTGTGTGTGTGTGTGTGTGTGTGTGTGTGTGTGTGTGTGTGTGTGTGTGTGTGTGTGTGTCTGAGTGTGTTGATGAGCTGGTCTCTAGTGTCTGTCTGATGTGTTTCAGCTCGGTGAGAAGGTGTTCCACACGGACCGATGGGTGTCTCCGCTCACAGAGGAGCTGTTTAACCTGCGGCCGCGAGAGGAGATGCTGCGCAAGAAGTTCGGCTTCCTGCGGTACGTCTAGAGCTGGGTATCGTTTCAATTTCATCAGTTCCCTGTTTCGGCTCCAATGTGGTTAAAAAAATTAAGTCAAAGATTTAGATATCAAACATATGTGACCCTGGAGCACAAAACCAATCTTTTGAAATTGAGATGTATGCATCATCTGAAAGCTGAATAAATAAGCTTTCCATTGATGTATGGTTTGTGAGGATCGGTCAATATTTGAAAATCTGGAATCTGAGGGTGCAAAAAAATCTAAATATTGAGAAAATCATCTTTAAAGTTGTCCAAATGAAGTTCTTAGCAATGCATATTACTAATCAAACATTAAGTTTTGATATATTTACGGTAGGAGATGTACTAAATATCTTCATGGAACATGATCTTTACTTAATATCCTAATGATTTTTGGCATAAAAGAGAAATGTATAATTTTGACCCATACAATGTATTGTTGGCTATTGCTACAAATATCCCCCAGCGTTAATATATGTGTGTACACATATACTCGTTTCATTACTGGATGATTCAGTGTTTTTGAATGAATCTCTTGAATGGAATGATTCAATGACTCACTCGGAATTGACTCGTTTCATTACTGGATGATTCAGTGTGTTTGAATGAATCTCTTACAAATACATGTTTAACAGCACCTTTTCACCAGCTAAAAATAAAAGATGCACACACAGGAATTGATAGGTGGAATTGAAATTTTTATTTTACAACAAGTATCTGATTCTGGAATTGATTTTCGATTCTCAATCCTAGGTACGTGTGACTCCAGCTATCCCAGCATCCCCTTCTGCGGCGTTTCCAGCATTAGCCATGTGTTGCTCTGTTCACACTGTAAATGTTTCCATATTAAATATGATTTCTTTTCCTCTCAAACACTCTCGTGTCTTTCCTGGATTCTCTCTGCTTTTATTCTCAATGTGTTTATGACTGAAAATCAACAAAACAGAGGGCAGATGTTTAATGCGTCGCAGCAATGATCAGTTTAAGAAGAAAATGCGTGATGTGAACGTTACAGGACGATGAGTGGAATTTTATTCATTCTTACAGGAAATATGTTCAGATCTCATGCTGTTGGCAGTACTAAATACAAAAAGATATTTCTTACTTTTATGTCTATATTTCTGCAAGAAGCTTGTGAACCCAGCTTTATGGTGCACTCCACTGGATATGAATTCTCTTCCAGAAATCAGGATCTTCAGGAAGAATCCAGCGTCAGATGTGATCCGGTTCATTCTGAGCTCTTCAGTCACTCTTATTATAACTGAATGTTCATCAGATCAAGTGTGATCTGCAGGATCTTCTCACTTCTCTTCATGATGTTTCACACAGAATCACATCAGCTATCAGCAGCATCCACTAACTAACTCACACACACACACACACTCACTCACTCTCTCACACACTCACTCACTCACTCTCACACACACGCACACACACACACTCTCTCTCACACACACACACTCACTCTCTCACACACACTCACTCTCACACACACACACTCACACACACACACACACTCACACTCTCTCACTAGTCCCCTCTCACACTAGTCCCCTCTCACACTAGTCCTCTCACACACTAGTCCTCTCACACACTAG